ATATAAATAAAAAATTATAACCTGAATCTATTTTAGCAACTAACCTCAGGGGTTTCTAATGCACTGTTTATGTATTTACACTATCGGGTCACTTTGAAACACTGCCAAAATCCGGTTCCAAACTAGTCCCTTCAACCCGAGAAATTCGACTCCCGTTCCACCCCAAATTTGCTTACAAATATAAACGAAAGGGTACTCGAGGGCACCGCGGGGGGTGTAGCATTCAGGGAAGTCTGAGAAGCCGAAGGTGGGTTGTAATTGGCTTGTCAAACCATTACCGACAACAATAAGATAATTGCCGTCAAGTGGCCTGGTGTAATATCGGTTCTTTTGTGGACTCACCGGTCTCCGGTCTTTGTTTTTATGGCCCTTTGATATCGCGAAAGATGAAATTGGAAAATTGCGGACGCGTTTAAGATAAAGCTCTGGCGGCGCCATAAAATGGAAAAACATTTTTAACGTTTTTATTTATTTTATTCAGTCTCTTACCAGAAAGTGAATTATCATTATTTCTTAATAATCCAAGAAGAACATTTTTTGCATTTCTGGACCGGTTTTAAAGTATTACAGTTAAAATAGTTAAATAAGAACAAATGCATATGATAAAGGCACGGTGTTGCCGAAACAGCTGTCATTTAAATATATTTATGTGAAAATCTGAACAACGTTTGTTCTTATTTAACTATTTTAAATGGATTTTCATCAAGTAAAAGCCACTTCAGTACAATGTTACTGTTAATTTTTTCAAAGTTAATGCTTTTCCGCGTTTCTCTACTTTTACTTTGGCTTTGTGATTGGATGAACCAAAACCAAACAAAAATCATTTATGATAATATAATATGCTTCTAATATTATGGACTTTCACAACAGTCGATTGATCTGGTAACATCCTACTTTTCTAACAGATTTCAAAAAACTGTGTGTAGCGGCTCGGTTTCAGAGCGAGTTCAGATTTTGTCAGGTGTTCCGCAGGGCTCAATACTCGGGCCTCTGTTTTTTATTATTTACACGGCTGATATTTGGAGGGCCTATACGCAGATTTGTTTTCACTTTAATCCCTCTGATTACGAAAATGCATCCAGGTTAATAAACGAGGACAGGAATATATTAAAACAACTTTCCTCAAAACATAACCTTAAATTTAATCCTCTTAAATGCTTTTCGGTCCTAAAATTAATAGTTTCTAGTGGATAGTCGTCTTGTTGGTATCAGGCTTTCAATGGTCAGCTCTGCGAAAAATTTGGGTATTATATTGGATACGAAGTTGCGCTTTAGGGAATATATATAAATGATATACAACAGTAGACATATACTTAGTTCTCCTTTACGTAGAATGCTCTGTGAATCCATTGTGCTTTCTAGTTTCAACTACTGTGAATTTATTTAATAAATAAATATGCTTTTTTTTTGTTTTACATGTAATTTTCTTTTTCTCCTATACAGATTCTCTTGAAAGAATAGTATTGATTAATAAAAAAAAGCTGTTTATTATTATTATTATTATTAATATTATTAATAAATTTATGAATATTAAATAAAGAAAATTATCTCTCAGCAAAACCCAATTGAAAATCAAATTAAATATTTTTTGCAGTCGTAAAATGTAAATCTTTATTTTTTTAAACCTTTAGTTTTTACAAGAAATAACTGCGATTACGTCTCATATTTTGCTTAGTAATAAATAATCTTTTAACGGAAAATCGTAAAAATGTCCCTGGAAAATCCTTCGTTTCGATTGTTACGACTTACCAATAACTTTAACCTTTACCGAAACATTGTAAGACTTACAGTATGAATGCGACACAAAATTAATGCAGTTTGCATAATTTTTCCAATTTTTGAGATTTCTACAGACCATTTTGTCAATTTGTACGCAGAACATTTCCTTTTTATGAGGTATACGGAAAATTGTGTCCAAAATACAATTTTTTCAAAAACTTTTACTTCCACGTAAGTTCTATTGAGGTTGAAATTGAAAATGGCGGGTTTCATTTTTCGGCGGTAAATCCGAAACGGTTAAATTGAGAGCTGTCAAAATGTGACACTTTTTTAAGGCGACTAAGGGCGTATGTCATCTCGCGACCCGTTTTTCTTAGGGTCGCCATATTTGATTGACATCTTGGCTTTGACATTAAATAATTCAAAGTATCAATAAGTAGTACGTTTTCTGTTATTAAAATCATAAATGTAACACTATTTAAGAACTTTTTAAGTCAGCGGTTTGACGAAACAATCATTTCACTTTTCAATTTTTATCGAACTTGTACGTTGTTCAAGTGTCCTTTGTTTTGGCCTTATTCTAATCTAATAACAACTTTAAGTGCCTATAATTTGATTAATTCAAATGGAATGACATAATTTTTAGCTCACCAGGAAATATAATATATTGTCCTCAACAAATAGATAGATACTATGAACAACAACAATAATAATGTAAAGGATTATTTAATGTTTGTATTTTGGCCACGTATTCCGTGCATTTGATGCAAAAAGAACTATTTTTATTCAGGCACTGGCCCAAACTGATGAATGTGAAGAGGCTCGTGGTGATTGAAAAGTATAGGTTTACCTCGAAAGAATGTTTATCCGCGTTAAGTCTGCAACAACAACAACAAGCAACGAGAAAGGAGATTCCCGTCGACCAGAGACCCGCGTTCTGCACACTTCACGCCGACGCTCACTTAACGACTGACTTAAATTAAACCAGGCTCTTGACGTCTTCAGTGGCAACGCTTTTATCAGATCCACGACGAATTTTCCTAACTACGTCATCGCGGCTGGCTCGAAACGCCTTTTCATCGTTGCCGATAGATGATGCACAACTTCTCCGAATTCGAAACTTCGGGTTACGTTAGGCGAGATCAAAGGTTAAGATATACGGCAAGGCATCGATGATGTTAAAGATACTAGGAAGTAGAAGGAATTTTTAGACACCATGTGACGTATTAAGCAGTCCCAAGGAGTTCTAAATATAAATGGAATTACGGTGTAGACTGCGGCCTATGCAGTTCTTCCTAAGTTGATAGTAAGATACATCAAAACCTTAAATCTACAGTTCCATAATAATATAGAATATGCTACAGACAAAATTATGATATTGAAAAATGGAAAATAGCGACTCAAAAGTTTAAAAAATCCTGATTCTCTGGTGAACTGCTTATAGAGTATCAATAAAAAATGGTAATTAATGAAAACCTACTTGTCTCGGAACGCTCTCTCGCTCCGATTTTCCTGTTTTTTTTTGGGATTTCTTTCACCTTCGTTCTATACAAAATTTTGTAGGTTCAAAATTCAATTTTCAAAATTTCCACCTTTCCGATCGAACATTTTTCACAAAAAATTGTATTGGGCAATTTTTTCCGCCATCTTGATAGAAACGAGCGAAATGGTATTACAGGAAATGTGCTAACGCCAATAATGCCACGAAAGGACAACCCGCACAACCATTGGGTGTCAATCTGAAGTTAAGTGTAGTCAAATTTGGAACGAAAATTGACAAAAAAAATTGCAATGAAAATTATTTCCTGAATGCAGTTTTCTTATGCCAAAGGTAAACAAAACCTTATGGTAGAAAATACGAGGTGTGTTCAAAAAGTAAGGCGACTTGTGTGATTGGGCGGGGTACGTACATTCGATCATCGATATTTTTTTTGTAATGTTGGTACACATGTATGTTCACAGTTGCAGGCGTTAGAAGTGTTTTGTGTGGTCGGCGATTTTCTGCTGTCAAAGAAAAAATGGAACAAATAATTTGCATAAAGTTTTGTGTGCTAAACACTTGAAATGTTGACAACGGCATAAAAAATGTTTATAAGTGGTACAAGCTGTTCCAAGATGGCCGACGACGAACCTCGCTCTGTCTGTCGAACCCTATTAAAGAAGTGGCTGGAAGGAGCATCGCTCATGGCCTGCTAAACAACGTTAATGATGATCGTAATAACATAAGAACCCAGAATTGCCAAGACCGAAAAAAGCACGTCAAGTTGGATCAAATGTCAAGAAGACAACACATGGATTTTGCACCTGCTCACTCATCGTTGCTTGCGTCTAACTTTTTGGCCGAAAACAAAACCACGATCGTGCCTCAGCCACCATATTCACCGGATACGACCCCCTGCGACTTTTTCCTGTTCCCAAAACTCAAGAAACCAATGAAAGGAACGATCGAGGAGATACAGAAAAAATCGCCGGAAGAATTCAAGACTATACCAGTTAGTGTTACGTTGGCACAAGTGTATTACATCTGGGAGGGGGTAACTTTGAAGGGGTCAATATTAATTTTGATAAATAAATAAATACTTTTTGATAAAACTTAAAAGTGTCCGTCCTTTTTGAACAACGATAGAAACTTAAACAAAAAATACGATGTAATAAGTGTTAGATTTGAAAGAACTACTACTATTAAGTTTTAAGAAAAATTGTTGTTTTTATCATAAATTTATTATATAGCATCTTTTCAGCACCAACGAGCATTTTTGGAGCCAAATTTATTATTTAGACTGAATATTTTTGAAAGAGAAAAGTTGTTCCGAAATTAGATTTTATTTTCGAAATTCCCTTTGTTATCGTTTTTTTCCCGCTTAACAAAATGGAGAAAAGCCCGATGAAAATTATAAAAACTTTCCGACATCTCTTCGGTGTCCATTTGTATATTTTTATATATTATTATTATTATATAAGTGAATATCTTTTTATTATATAATACCTACTGGGTACTACAGTACTATCATCTAAAAGGCATTTGATGACGTTTCACTTCCTCTTGGTTATCTTCGGGAAGGCGCTGCCAGTGGTAGACGCATTTTAAAAATAAATTTCGGGTTTTGTTCGATTATTCATTGGAAAACGAAGGTGTATGTACGTGACTAATTGCCTATAAATGATAGCCAGTTAAGCGATTACCTCGCGATTCACATTGTATGTTAATATTACTTTTATATCGCGCTCATTTTTGAAAATTCGCTGACAAAAGATGTTCAAACACCTGCGCGAGTTCTTACCTTTTTTTTTTCGTAACGATTTCCTTTGTTAATATTGGCGCCCGTTCACTATTCGAAAACCGGAATCGCGAGCTTTTTCATTATTACAAACATCGCGGCAACTAACATTTTAACGGGAGATCGCACGGTTTTATACCCATATATATTTGTGCCGATTGAAATGACATTTCGACCGCCGGACAATAAGTCGGCCGATACAAATGGTCTCGTTTAAAAGTGAACAACAGTTTTCAATTTGGGCAGTTGTTTCGCTGAATGAGGCGAAATTAATAACCGTTTCGTTCCCTGTTATTATTAGGCCGACAGTAAAACGATATCATATGTCGCTTTAATGGTTTTTTTTTAATTTCCGAAAACTGACGCCTTAAGAAACGGGAGCGGCTATTGAAATCCCGGTCGAATTTGTACAAAACGGATGGTGTAGTATAAATTATTAAATTCGATTTTTCTAAAGCGTACGCGCTTTTCAACAAAATTCTCGGCAATCATCAGAAATGATCAGGGTCCATAAAAAAACTCTTTTTTCTGTTCTCCGCTCCCCGTTTCTCTGTAGGTGGGGCATTCTTCTTCTTCTTCTTCATGTACCGTCTCCACTTCGGAAGCTGCGGCTGTAAATAGGTCAGATGATGTAACATTAAACCATTTTCGTAGGTTTCTAAGCCAGGATATTCTTCTTCCTCCAATAGATCTTCTTCCCACAATTTTTCCCTGGATTATGAGTTGTAAAATTTCATACTTGTGGCCGACATATTGCAATTTCCTTTCTTTCACTTCCTGTAGGATCTCTACACCTTTCTTCATTCTTCTCAGAACCTCCACGTTGGTCACATGTTCCGTCCATGGTATTCTCAGCATCCTACGGTATGCCCACATCTCGAAGGCTTCCAGTTTCCGCTCACGAAACAGGTTGAGGTTCCAAGCTTCCACATCATACAAAAGGATCGCGAATACGTAACACTTGAGCATTCGAGTTCTCAGATCTAGGCTCAAATCGTGACTACAGAGCTGCTTCTTTATCTTCACAAAGGCTGCACGGGCTTTCTCGATGCGGATCTTTATTTCCGAAGAATAATCCACATTGCAGTCGACACTCGTACCCAGGTAATCATATCTCTCGACTCTGTCCAGCTGTCCAGGCGGGGCATTAAATCGCCATAACTCTCGAACCGCTTGGCTCTTTTTAAACAGCGCATGAGATCCATAAACCGATCGCGCTTCGGCGTCCATTATGTTTATTAGATTTTCGACTGTTTTTTTTTTAAATTGCCATGACAAGCTATCGACTTGAAATTTGACACAGAGGGAGCTTGGCTCCATAACGATGCCTATCGAAAATGGGGGGGGGCTGGGGGGTCGAGAAGTATTTTTAAAAATTTAAAAACCCCATTTCTCAAAAACAGTCTCTACGATGGAAAAAATTCTTGAACTAAAAGACACACGAGATCGGAACCAAAAACCTTTATTCTCGATGATTTTTTAAAAATGTACAGGGTGAGTCGTTCATTTGCAAAAAACTGATAATTGGATGTGTTTCAGTTGTCAGTTTCGTTCACGTGGCCATATAGCCTGTATAGGCAGCTAAAACTTTTATGTTTAAGGGTTTCCCCTATTGTGCAGGGCGTTCCCAGAGTAAATTGGTAGCAGCAAATCAAAATCTGTAAAAAATGTGTGTACTTAATTTGAATAGGCCGCATCAATCAATCAATCAATGTTTGTATTTATAGTTTGTCTCTAATCAAGTTTGAAAACAACAAAATATTAGTACTAGTAACCAGTTCAGTTTTTGAAGGGATAGATTCTCCATACAATAGTCCGGCGGAGCCAATATGTTAGCCTAATGTATAAAAGAAGAAGAACCTGATATTTTATCAGAATCACAAATTGTGCTTATTATTAGAGAAAAGTTTTGCTGATTCTCGATCTAGTGAATGCGTTAATTATGCCGTGCGAGCAGACTGTCCGTCCGTAACCATAGCAACCGCCTTTGCGCGCACGGCGCCGTAGAAAAAGTTCGCCACGAAGTACAACCACGCACTGCTTACCTTTCATTGAAGTTCTTAATCCGAACTTCGGGTTTAATTTCACTACCTTTTAAACCGCGCTGACACTTATTGCCCTTATGTTGACAGTAAAATTAGGTACAGCATAATTTTGACAAATGCCTTCTTGAAAGCAGAAAAGCGCAATAAGATGTGTAGCAGATATTTCCAAATCTGCTTCCTGTAAAGCCTATTTTAAATAACAATTTAAAACAAAACAGTTTTTTGTTTTATGTAATTTTCATTCAGTGAATACAAGAACTTTGGAGTTCCTTATGCAAAATGTTACAGTCCTTATAGAACCCCAATTGTAAGTGGTGTGCGATTTTTTAACCATTTGCGGAAAGAAATAAAGATGTGTGACACTCAAAAAAAGTTAAATCCCTGTACTCGGTAGAAGGGCACTTTAGTTAGAGTTTATTTTTTTCCTTGTTTATTGTTTGTAGTCGTGATTAAGGAGATTTTATTGATTGTTTTTGACAATTTACTATTTGTCGATTTGGAAAATAAAGATTATTATTATTAAGTCAAGTATAGTTTGTCCATTAATACTTACCAGAAATAAATAATAAAATAAATAAAAATTATTACATATATATTTGTAAACTAGATAGAGAAAAATCAAAATCAAAAACATGTAATGGTTATAAACCGCCGGACGATATCTGCAGTACCAACAGAGATAAAGGGCGTTTTTCAATTTTCGGCCCTTTTGAAAATTGCCCATAACTTTTCATTTTTGAAAATTTTGGATTCCGATGAATACCTAATTAGGGCACATTTTTCAATTTTGCGGTGGTGCATTTAGATGTTTTTTATAATTCCCACAAAGGATGGCTAATAATATCAAACGCTTTGCTGCAAGAGGCCGAGAACTGTGATGTCATTTTTACCGCTGTTATTTTATTTAACATGTCTACCAACACTGTAGATATGCTATAACCTATACGAAAGCCAGATTGATTACTGTGAAATAGAATATAAATCATGTAATATTACAGTATTAATTAATTAAAAAATTAAAAAAGAGAAGAAAGAAGACTCCAGTCGAAGTTTTTTTTCAAAATAATTTAGAGCACACGTCGCCCTCCTCGCCACGCACGGACTCGAAACCAAAAATGCGTACGACAGCGATCGATTTTTTTTATCGGAAATTCGACAGGCAATTAGTTCCGGCAGTTTCTATCCCGCGGGCGTTATTAAACCCGACAGCGATCCACAAAGCGCAGCGCGCCAAATATCTCGCGAATTTTGAACCCAAAATAGTTTTACCTATATTGTTTGCTTTTATTGAAATAACTCTCGAAGTTATCCAGCCAATAAATATCAATACGGGGATGTAGCCGATCCTGCTGCGAGAGCCGCAATCCTGCCGCCTGGCTTGCCGTAATCGGTCCTTATTGTAAATTAAACTACCGCCGCTGTGAATACTGATTTGTAAGTGCCGCTGGCGACCGTTTCATCGTTTGTTCGCTCGGCTTGTACCCTCGTCGGGACAAATTCAAAGCGAGACAGAAAATTTTCAAATCCTATAGTCCAAGAGCCAGTAACACATGTTTCATGAAGTGTTTGATGCATCCCGAAATTTTTCAAGTGCAGTATCTATGAGATGAAGAGCCAGAATACTTGTGTTGGCTTAGCCCAACTCGGGACACCAGTTACCGCCCATAATGGAAAGGTGTAATAAAATTAAGCCCGAAAAAAGTGTTTTGTTCAGAGGCAACACACTTTAATCGAAAGTTTAAATAAATTTTTGAGAGTGTTTACATTTAATTTAATACCATATGAAGTGTTTGATTCGATTTTTAACAGTCCCTTAATTAAAAATTAAAAAAATTAATTACAAATAGCCAGACACTTTTTGAGGGGATGAATTACCAGCAGACATGAGAATAAGTCTTTTTCAAAATAGAAAGAGATAGGTAGCGGCGTGAGTGAGAGCGCCGATCACCGTAGTAGCTGCACCCCCGTCGTACGCTCTGATTGGTTGTTGGTCACGTGTCCTTAACCAGTTGTACCTGTTTTAAGATTATTTTTATAAAACCTATGTAAAAAAGAGAGTTTTTAAATAAAATGCCTAGTGAAAAAATGAAAAGTGTATGTGTGATGTGGAAAGATGCTGGAAAAGTTAATTTATTTGCTGACGCTACTTTAAATAAATGTCGAACCACGTTAAAGATCCAACAAGAATATAATTTAAAGTACAGTGATGTTATTTTACCATTAAGAGTGTCTTTTTTTTACAAATTTAAAAAAGCCATATAAACACAATGTTTCAACAATTTCTTTCGTTAATTTTGATTCTCACCCAACCTGGACCTGTATTAAAAAAATTTGAACATTATGTTTCGTTTCGAGCGTTAATAGTAATACAGAATGGATATACCATTTTAAAATTGAAATTAATTCAAAATTCAATCGGACAAACATTTTCCTCTATCACGTAAAGTTTTTTTATCAACACTAGAATTAGTAAATGGAAGCCTGGGTTTATTTAAACATTATTTTTTTTTAGTACAAGCACAGTACAGTGGCGTAGCAATTTCAATTTTTGGAATGTAATGTTGAAATTTTTACAAAAAATATGAATTTTACTCAGAAATATGACAAATACGAAATCACAAAATCTTTGTTGGCCTGTATTTTTTTTGTTTAATGCTCTTTGCTCTATTTCTCAAAGGGTGTTATATATTCGTGTGCTCAAATAAATGTAAGCTACCGATGAGTGAGCCGATCCTGATTGCTTACTTTCCCACCGGTGGCCATTTTATGACATAATCGCACCTTTGAATTTTGAATTTAATTATTTAATGAATAATTGGTAATAATTAAATGCTAATTAAAACCCGCAAAGTGGAAATGTTTTCCAAATTCATTTTTTTAGTTTATTTTAGGTTAGGATAAACATGTCCAGATGAGGTGTTTACTAATGAATGGCGTTGCATTTTTTTTTTCACAATCTTTTTGCGACTACGCCAGATAACGCCATCTGGTGCCAAGCTTATTAAAATGGAGTTACCGATATTCATTAATTGTGGGCAACCGGAGTAATGTTGCAGTAATGAAAATGCCTTTCCTCATCGAAAATTCCTGCTGGTTCTGCGAAATACATAAAACGCTGTAAATATGATTTTTCATTTAACGGATTGTTTATCAGCAGGAAGCGTGCACATTTACTGCCGTTTTATTGGTGCTGTTATCGGAGGCCGTAAGCTTTGAACAAATAACGGGTAATAGATTTGAAAATCCACGTATTATGAGTCAGCGTTTCCATTCAAAACCTTCACAATGTCGCTGTAAAAATAGTCCTGCTTATCTTTATATCTTAAAAAAAGGTGCCAAGACGGTTCGGAAAAGGTATAAAGCAAACAAAGCGAACAATAAAATAATATTAAAATCAAATAATGTGGACAGGGAATACGAGGTGTTTTCAAAAAGTAATGGGACTTCTGTAATTGGGCGGACTACGTGTATTTGATATTCGATTTTTTTTGTTATGTTGGTACACATGTGCCTAACATATGTTCACACTGTCAGCCAGTTTGCACGTTTACTTTTGCTTGTGAGACAGAAGCGTTAGATGTATTTTGTGTGCAATTTTCGGCTGTCAAAAAAAAGTGGAACAAAGAATTGGCATAAAATGTTGTGTAAAAAATGGAATACCGTGTATCGAAATACTTGAAATGTTGATAACAACATATGGTGAATCTACTTTGAGCAAAAAAAAAAAACAAGAGTTCTTACCACTGTTCACTCGTCATTGCTTCTGTCTTTTTGGTCAAAATCGAAACCAGAATCGTGTCGCAGCCACCATATTCACCGGATAAGGCCCCCTGCGACTTTTTCCTGTTCCCAAAACTCAAGAAACCCATGAAAGGGAGGAGGTTTCGAACAATTGAGTATATGAAGAACAAATCGCTGGAAGAACTCGACGCTATACCAGAAAGTGCGTTGAGAAAACGTTGGCACAATTGTATTATAGGTGGGGGGATTGCTGTGAAGGGGACAACATTAATTTTGATAACTAAATAAATACTTTTTGATAAAACTTAAAAAGTCGCCTTCCTTTTTGAATACACTTCGTACAAATGGAAAATTGGCCACTAGTAGATCTCTCATCTCATCTCATCTATTTATTTATTTATTTCTTGCTCTTTGGGACACAAACAGGTTAAATCCACAACACTGTCCTCTTAAAGATGCAAATATAGGTACGTAATATTAAAAAGGCTTAGTTTATAACAATGACAATACAAAAAAAAGTGAAAAAGAAAAAAGAAAACGATGATGATAATAATAATCTAAAATTGATTGTCGAAATCGATCCATCGCGACCGCTTCAAGAATTAATAACATTTAATTTTCCTATCTTTTTTTACAGCTCTTGTTTTCATTTCATATATAGCGTTCATAAGGTTTTTAAATTAAAAAAAAAGTGAACTTCGATTGAAAAGAGCAATCAAATGAAAATGACCTCAAAACTACAGGTGTAAGAGAAGAAATAATATTATTGTTATGATTTTATTTATTATTATTCTGGTCAGCTACGAATAAAACTGATTTTTTGGGTCAGATTTTCGACCTCTGGTATCATTGAGCAAACCCTTTGCTAAATTTGGTTAGTTTCTGGCAACTCATCCATTTTATTTCCCACAGGACGACGTATACTACGCAACTAGAAGAAACGACTCGTCATTAAAGCGCCAAAGCTCGGGCCGTCGTTTTTTCGAAAATAATGTCAGTTCGTAGAATCAATGAAAGGCCAGTGAGAAGTAAGTCGTCAAATTTGATGTACCCCTGTTGATGTCGCTTTAAATGTGAACCTTCTGGCGAATGCCCCCGTCCCCCATGAACGCGGAACTTTTTCCGAGCATGCGCTCCTTTAATGTAAATACACCTGAAGCTGTGTTTTAAAGGGCCTGCAGGTCATTTCAATAATTAAAATTTTAAAATATTCAATCTTTAAGGGTGGAGCATAAACACTAAAAACGATTCTTATTATTTTCGTACTTCCCTTATTTGATTATGGTGATATTGTTAACAATGCGCTCTCACGGCAATCGTTTCATTTTTTTTATTAAATAAAAGATACAATTTTATTTACACGTCGCACAAAAGCAGCAAGTTAGCTATTTTTGATAAAAAAACATTGATTAAACACCAGCATATCAGAAATTTTTACCTTTGTCGTAATTAAAATTCGAAACAAAAGCTCTATTCAAGAATTATAAAAACTTTCAGCAAACGAGCAAAAGATATAATGAAATGAAAAATATTGAGACCAAAAGTATCTATAATTAGAAGTATATTCTTCCCTCAAACCACCATACTTATCTGTTATTTACCTACTATTCTCCCTCGCAGTGTTGTTCTTTCCGCCTTCTCTTATTTTATTTTCAGGTCAGTTTCTGTTAAAATTTTGATCATGCATGCCATAGGCAGGATGCTATTTTTTCCACGGGTTTTATAATCGCATAAAAAAAAATACCAGCCAGGCGAACCAACCTCCTAACCAATTATTAAATGTCAGTTTGCCGGTTTCCGGTCCCCGACCAAAATCGAATTCGTATTGTCAGCGTGGATGCAATTTGCCGCTCCGAAAATTAGAAACCACTTAATCGCATCGTCAGACTTAAGGGCTTTTCTATGGTTCCTAACATAAAACATTTCATTTATTGGCCAAACGACCCTGACACTCTGGCCCAAGACTTGGGACAGAAACTTAGAGAACAGAAGACATTTATTTTATCACGGCGAACTCCGGTATAAATGGTGATTGTATCATCGACGGAAGTCGGCAATGGGCGAATGATCCTGGTAGTCGTGCCCAACAGTTTTTTGTGAAACGCATCATTGAATTGAATTGGAATGGCGATGTTTTCTTTGTCACGTTATTACTAATGGCAGATGAAGGTAATAAATTATATCATTTTTCATTTTTTCTAATTAAATTTGTTTTTTTAATGGTTAATCGCTTGCTAGAGGTTAATTTCTGAAATCTATTTAACCATTTATCCGCCGTCTGACGTTAAAGCTTATTTTTTGGGTATGTAAAGCATTTACGTCTGTTGTGTTACATGATCCGATTTTATTTTATAAATAAATAACAACTCAGCAATTTATTAAATAAAATACGTAAATAACATTATAGGATTTCCATATAAAAACAAAAATTGTCAATTTGATTTTATAATTTGTGCGACATGCCTACGTATTATTTATAAATAATCATAAATTTGGTACTCTTTATATAGTGATAGCCGCCATAATTTAAAACTTTTTTAAGAAAGAAAACTGGTTTATGTCTTCTTTTAAGTCATTTTCTACATCGGAAAAGATTGAAATATTTTAAAATTGCAAAGTATATCAACTGGTATGCGGCCTTGTCGGGGGGTATTAAGATAAGTTACGGATTTTGTTTTTTACAAATATTTAGAAATAATATGGTTTTAATGCGTAAATTATTTTGCCACGAATTATATCCGTAAATTTAATTATTTAAAATACTAACGGATAATAAAAATCCATCACAAGTCTTCGCTATTAGCTACAATATGATTAATTGCAAAATACAAAAAAAAATTGTTGAAGTACAACTATAAATACGAGGTATGATCAAAAAAGAAGGTGACGTTTAAGTTTTATCAAAAAGTATTTATTTATTTATCAAAATTAATGTTGTCCCATTCAAATCAATCCCCCTTCCCACTTCTGCCAACATTTTTTCCAATCCTTGAAGCACTTCTGGTAAGCACTTTCTGATATAGCCTTGAGTCCTGCCAGCCTCCTTTCTTTCATGGGTCTCTTGAGATTTGGCAATTTCGGAACAAGTTTTGCTATACGTTTCATGCCCAAAACTTCGAAAAAAATTGCATGGTACCAGCCAATAGAGATGCTGACGTCTTCAGCCACTTCTCTAATAGTGGTTCTTCATTGACGTGCTGGTGGGTCCAGGGCGAAGTTCGTGAGCGACATCTGCGCGGCCATCTTGGAACAGCTGGTGCCACTTGTAAACATATCTTTGCTCAAAGTAGATTCACCACATGCCGTGGTTAACACTTCAAGTCTTTTGCAACATTTTACTCCATTTTTTACACAATTTTTTTTTAAATCAGAAAATGGCCGTCACACAAAACACATCTAAACACATCACAAAAAAATGTAAACAAGCAAACTGGCTGAAACTATGAACATATGCTAGGGAAATGTGTACCAACATAACAAAAAAATGTTTTAAAAGTCACTTTGCTTTTTGAACACACCTCGGACATAAAAAAAGATAAAAAAGAAACATTGATAAATGAATTTCGTTTGCAAGCGATTTATTTATATTGATGCAGCGGAAAGACAAAGTGAGCAAAGCAAAATTGCCCTTTGATCTGAATGGGGTGGACAAAGTTTGGTGAGGGTCTTTGTGGAATATAAAAAGTGGTTCCTGGTTAAAGCTCTGAGCTGCCTATCAAATCGCAGAGTGACTTGTTATGTGTTCGAAAAGATTCTTTTGCGTGTCAGACAATGTTACCCAGACCACGCATTGATTTTTTTACAATGTTGTTGATATTTTCGTCATCAATTATTTTCAGGTTTTAATAACGTATTGATAAGCTTATTTATTTAAAAGCTTATAGTCAAAAGTTAGATTCATCAAATCATCTGGAACAAGAACAAACCCAATGTAGTTTACTACATCGAATTCACTGTTTGAGTGTATGTTTTGGTTAGCTTTTAGCAGTCTTAGAAGAAGTTTTGATTTGACTCAAATAATAAATAACAGATAAAGACGTATCGTATGCAATCATTCAGTTTGCTTAAATTTCGTAGTGATCGTAAATTTGAGGTCTCCCACAAGTAAATCTTTGACTGGAAAGATAAACTAATGAACGGTGTAGGATAAATTCAAACAAACGTATTGCCGCTTTGGGCTTTTAGCATTTCGGTTATTTACACACCCCTTGGCCCCTTGCCCGGCGTTAATGGACGATGCGAGGTAGAACTTTTATAACACCATTAATTTGTCATATTGCGTTTTGAACAATTGGAGTAATTAAAATAGGGATAGATGATTTGAACAACCTAAAATGTATGTATGCGACAAATATATAGCAGCTACCCAATTAAAGAATGGCACACAATAACGCGTTTTACCACAAACCGAAACTCAATTTTACGTACTCTACGCGCGTTTCGCCAACCAAGTTGGCATATTCAGGAGAAGATTAAAACTAAACTTCACAGAACAAATGCTCTCTATATATATACACATCGGGAAGTGGGAGAGGGGATTACGCACTGTTCACGCAACCAATCAGCGCATATAATGGGCTAAATGGGATTGGACCTCTGTCCTTGTTCAGTGCCTTATTCCCGCCCTTTACAATTTCTAATCTTTCGTAGGTATCTAATTTTCTACTATTATTTACATGTTTAACTAATTTTAAATTACTTACGATTATTGTTGAACATATATTCGGCTACACTTGATTTTCCTAACCTACCAAATTTTAAATGTCCTTTAAATCTAACATTAATTGATCTTTTGGTTTGCCCTACATATGACTTGTCCACAATCTTTACAACATATGTCATAAATCCCCGACTTTTCAAGGGTATCTTGTTTATCCTTGGGATTACCCAAGAGATTTTTTAATTTTGGTCCGGACTGATAGACACCTCGAAGACCTGCGGCCCTGAAGACTCTATCAAGTCCACTTGTATGTTGGGGAGAGAAAAAAATTGAGACTACTTATAAATTTTCCTTATCAGCTTGAAAAGTCGTTGATTTTTGAAGTTCGTTTTTAAATCTAAATTTCCTAACTAACTTATCGATAAAATTACCTTCATAGCCATTGCTTCTAGCCACTTTTTTTATAAGGCTTCTTTCCACCTCAAAGGAAATGTGGCAAGTCTATGGATTAGAAAATGAAAACTTGCCATTTTATGTTGAAAAGCATGGTTATGTATCTTAGAGTACTAGTGTCTTTCAAATCATTATAAGTATGGTCCCGTCTTATTATAGGAGAGTTAGACCTAAATGGCTCATTAGAAAACGTCAGTCTAGGATCAAAAACAAGAATCCACGAGTCCATTTATAATTTTGTAAAGAAAAGCAATAGCTTCTTCGAGTTCCAAGCCACTTTACATTTTCTTCTTACGAGTAAAACAGTCTATCTCTGTATCTAAAGTTTAAGTTGTTGAAAAGTTTGTTCGTTTTCTATTCTGATGATATATTTACTATAAATAGGATTCCAAACTGCGAGTAAGTACTTTACTACACACCTAATGTTTTTGTACACAATTATTACTGAGTGACACTTCTTGAACCCTTTGGTAGTTCTCAAAGTGAAGCCCAGGTTTCTCAAACACTTTTTGACAATAATTCCGATACCAGCCTCAAAGTTTACCTGAGAGTCAAGAACAATTTCCAAGTTTTTTACTTACTTGACTCGTTTCAGCTATTTATTATAGAGCATTAAGTTAATATCTCGACATTTATCAAGAATTAAGAATATTCTTTGGTTTTGGTTTGTCTCACATTTTCAAGTAAATCCAAAATAGTACAAACAAATATTTTGGATATGTATTGAAATTTTTGTTAAGTCTCTAGCATGCAGAAAACATCGCAGAAAACATACATTGGAAATACTATACTGATTATGCTTTATTTTTTGAAAATATTTACTGGTGTGTGAATGCACCACTAGTTTTATCTGTGAAACAAAACTAGTGTTTTCTTCAGTATTAGTTTGTGCCTTGTGCAGTGAACGTTGCAATT